TTTAAGAAGCTATATGGACATCTTCCGTGCAGAAGTGACAAAATGTAATCCAATATTAAACATTGCTTACTTGATGATATCGTTACAACCTTAATGTCAAAACCAATTTAACATATATTGAAACCAACTGCCTCACTATTAGAATATGAAACAGAGGAAGAAAGGGAGAATTGAAGTAATTCTAATGATAGACATCATGTACTTAACATATGTCACAATAATCTAGGATTATTGATGGTTAATTAATCCAATTTAGTATACCTAAATGTCAACTCCTCATAAGAAATAAAGTATGTTATGTAAATGAAGATTCTTCAGCTCATGATCATATTTATTATTGGAAAAGAAATTATTGGTTTACCTAAAAAATTGGACATGCTTTTACATGTGTCCTACATGTATTTTACAAAGTTTAGATCTTTTAACCCACTGAACTGGGTTAACATTTGGGTAAAGATTGTTGTAGTCTTTTCCTTCCAATATCCCACCTAAGGTACGTGAAGATTAGACCTTTTTTAGGGTACACATGACAAAAATATGAGAATCAAACATCATAAATTGTATAGCTAAGAAAACCATCTATCTACATAAAAATCAATATCAGTCATGTTTCTCTGCTACCATATATCAGTTTCGACGATATTACTACTACTTTTAGTCACTGATCGTCTCTTAAAATTTTGGTGACTTTTAAAGGAGTCAAAGTTTTTCAAAAGTTTATTCAAAAAATAATTTCCAAAAATTTTAGGTGGAAAAGAAACAAAAAGGAATCAGGGAGGAATCACTCCCCACTAGAGGTAGAGAAATTGTGAATTATATAACCAAGAAAAATCTAAATAATTTTTTCCCAAGTGAAGAATTAGTACGGAAACATAAAGTGAAAACTGTCTTTTTTTTTTAGAGAGAGAAAAGAGAAAGCCGTCAAATTGAATACAGAGCGGCAGAGAACATGATAACAAGCAACCACGATAATCATATCTGTAAAATGCTTTGGGGAAGTAGCTAAGATCAAACCATTTCCTAAGTTCTAACCATGCATTGTCACAGTCATACCGCAAGTACCAGCCTTACCTTCAGCAGGCTGATTACTAGTACTTGCATCAACAGCATCTTCAGTCTCCAATGTCACCTTCGGAGCCTCCAAACTAATTGGTTTTGCAGCCTCTAAAGTTTTATCTGTGAACTCTGTATGCCCAGTTCTTTTGGTATGCAAATCACTTTCCTTAACAATCAAACAGAACCAATACCTACCAATTAGAACTATTCATCAACAATTGACAGCACAAAAAACTGCAAAGAGAAGAGGAGATCAAAGATTTGTGAATTATTGTGTCAAACAATGAAATGCTTTCTTCACCAACCTCCTTTTGGAACACATAACAACTGGCCGGGTATGAAATTGAAACAAAAAATAATTGCCAAATTGAGCTTATCACTAAAGAGCTCTAAGAAAAATTAGTCAAGAGGACCTAAATTGTGCTTTTTGTTCCCATTTCTCAATCAATTAGATTTTCATTGCGCTGGAAGGGGGTGATATTTCTTTCACATCATCATATTTGCCTGCAGTAGGGTTGATGGAATCATGCTCTTCATGCTAATAGTAGAAGCCTCATTTACACAATCAACATTTCATGCATCACATGCATTCCTCATCAAATCTAATTCCTGGCAGCCAAATCTGCAGCTCACGGACATGAACGAGAAACAGTTCAAAAACCGAGGGCCTTCTTTCTACAAATTAAGCCTTGTGTCCTCCAGTTAAATACCACCTATCCCATTATTGTATTTATTAAATTCAAATACTACTCCAGAATCTCATAAACCCCAAACCACACTAGAAAATTCCAAAATCACCACTCCCATGACAATCAGAAAAGAGACCAGGAAAAAAAGAAATCAACTCCCTAAGGTTTTCAAATCTCCTTGTTCGAGTCAAACTCCGATAACATTCATCTCGATAAAAAATAGATCATCAATTTAAACTAGAAATTCATAGGCGAGGTATCCGTAAATTCAAATCCATCAAACTGCTAGTAGAATCCCAATTCTCGATTCATCTATCCCACGTCCGATAGCTATACTAGAAGCTTCCATTCACTTCACAAAATTCGCAAGTTCATCAACCAATTTGAAACCAGAAACAAAAGAAAAAAAAAAACAAAATACATTACGTTTTACACCAAACACATACATCAATACACACACATAAAATCTGAATGTACACAAAGTTACAAATAGAATTGAGAGTAATTGAGCCTGTGTAAGATCCGTACTGTTTTAGATCGGCAGGGCTTGCCGCAGACGGCGCAGACGAGATTGAGGACTGCTTCAGTTGACTCGGAAAAGTTGGAGTGAGAGGTGAGCTCCGCGTGCTCTCTCGCTTCCTCTACGGACTTCAGAAGAGTCCCGCAATCCCCGCACCTCAGCGACACCCCCGCCATTGATCTGAACTTTCACTCTCCTCTACAGAATCGAACACGCTTCCAATGGTTCTCTCTCGAAATGTAACAACATGGTGATATTGGGTTGGGCCGGGTCGGGTTACCGCCTACGTGTCAGTAACCTTATGCAAGGAGACCGGGGTTCTTTTCGTTCGGCTTACTTCTCTGATTTTGGTTATAGGGAAGCATTTTTTTACTGGACCGATTAGGCCGGGTTAAACCGGACCAGTCAACTGGTTAAGAAACCAACCGAATTTTCTTAATTTATGTATTTTATATATTATATTATATCTGAACGTTATTATTAAATTTAAAGTATATTATAAATTTATAATGTTAAAAAAGGTATAGAATCTTAACCTATCTAACCTACCTCATATATAATAACATTATTATTATAATAAAATTTATGAAAAATATAAAATATTTTCAGTTAATGCTTTAACTGTTTAATTTGGTCCATTGATGATATTTAACTAATTTTTCTCAATGTTGAAATATTTTTTTAATTGAACTTACCATTTGTTTACTTCTAATTTTCATAATTAAACTTTGAAATTTCACTTTTTTCTAAAAATTTAAATTTATTTTTAAAAAATTTACAAAAACGTATAAATAAATTCAACAAAAGTTTGTGTTTTAATTAAATGTTGAACTTTTTTAATTTTGTACAATTAAAACTTTTCACACTAACGTCTTATATTTTTTTAATTGGATAATATTTCTTATTGAGTATATAGATGTTAACATGGCAACCTTTTACACGTGAGCAAATATGTATAATTTTTTTTAATTTTTTTAACCTATTAAAAAATGTCTTAAATTATTAAATAAATAAATATAGTTAATTAATGTAATACCTTAAATTAATTTTTAATATAATTTAAGATTTATTTATAAATATAATTTCTTAATTTTTTAACATTTTTAATTTTAATTTAGAGTAAAATTGATGGATGATTAAATTGAAAATAATTTTGAAAAAAATGTGTGAAAATTTGGGTTATTGGGATATTTTTGAAAGAAAAATCGGAAACCAAAGATCAAAATGTAATTTAGAGAATTTATGCCACGTGAGATGACCGGTCAGCAGCCCCGACGAATTAGGACGTGTCGCATGGCAGCGGATGCTGACGCGGTACCACGCAGGCGATCCACGTGTCCGCGATCGGACGGTCCAGATCCTTTTTCGCGCGCACGGACGGCCCAGATGCGTTCCTTTCCCAAACACGATCGGACAATCAAATTTAAATGTGATCAGACGGTCCAGATTAGATCGTGATGAACAGTCCAGATTAAATCGCGATGAACGATCCAGATTCACTCTCTATTTAATTGTAATCGGAAAGTCCAAATCAAACGCGATGGACGATCCAAATTAAATGCGAAATGATATAAATAACCCTCATACACACCAAACCCTAACCCTAGCCGCCAAACCCCCTCGTCGGAGAAGAAGACCTAGCCGCTGGAAAGGAGACCACTGCCACCCACTGCCGCGCCGGAGCCCTTTCCGACCACCAAAAGAGGTAAAAAAATTTATCCTTTACTCAGAATTCAATTTTAACACACCCATGACCAAATCAGAGTAAAAAGTCTGTCATTGGAGCACAATGGAGCCACTGTACCAGAATTTTAAAATTGGTCAAAATGAGCCCTGAGACTGATTTAGGGTTTGTTTGGGACATTTATCTTATAGCACGTTTTGATTCCCGAAGAAAAATTCAAGGAACCCGAGGACCTCAGTGGGCACAGTCAACAGGTTAGCTTTTTGGGCATCAAATTGAGTAAGAATCTCTCACCTTATTCTCTGTTATAGAATTGAAGTGTAATTAACAATAAATACGATATTTTGTACAATTTAAAAAATGTTCATGATTAATTACGGATTGCTAATGGAGTCAGAACCAAAAACTATTCTCTGTTGATTTCTGTTAATTGTTTTTACAGTTTAAATGCATGATAGTACCTTATTGATTTATTTTATATCTTTGAATGCATATATTGTTGTTTTATGTGTTTATGGTTGAATTGGAAAAATGGAAGTTAAAGGTAAACGAAAAACTTGTGTGATTAAGTGGTTTGATGAAACGACAGCCTTACTGGACATCCTTAGAGATGGTGGACGAACCGGGTACACCCTATCGTGAATGTATCTCATACCGAACGAGGTATGGAGACTTGGTAACTTGGAGCTCATATCGGATGAGGTATGAGGACGACCTACTTTACCCTTATACCGAACGAGAGATTGAGATTTAGTAAATTGGCGTTCATACTGGATGGGATATGGGGACGGCCCGTAATTGAAAATGTTAAAAGAAAAAGTTTACGCGTAGCGGGGACATCCCTATGAACCCCTATAAATATCAGCAGGCTGATGAAAAAAGAGGCAATTGTTGTTTGATGATTTGAATATGAAAGTATAATATGTGTTATATTACCAATTACATACGAAATCATGATATATATAATGTTATTATTTTCTATAGGTTGTTTTCTATAAATCTCATTATGATAAGTGGACGGTAAATGATTTTATTATTGATAAATGAATTTGTTTAATTTAGTGCTTCATTACTTATTTTTTTGATGTTTTCTACCAACCTTCATTCCTGTGTCGGTGATATAGTATGATATTCTTACTCGGTTAGTGTAGCTCATCCTTTATTTAACCATTTCAGATCAAGAGGACCAGGATTTAGAGTCCGATTCGCAAGAGGGTTGCAAGTAGAATGCTAGTTTTCTTTATTTTTCGTTCATTTCTTTATTTTTTGTATTTCTTTCAAAATGGTGAATTCCATAACACGAATTGGTACTTTAAGTTATTGTGTAAGTAATGTTAATCTTGAACATTTATTTCTTTTAGATATTTTCGGAGTCATTACAGTTGGTATCAGAGTCGCGTTCCTTGGATCAATTTCTTACAAAAAAACTCTTAGAAAACACTGAAAATAATGAATTGTCACCCAACCATTCCTTCTGAAATATAGGTACAAATAGATGAGGAGAGGAAGACCCCCACTAAACCGAGCATCCCGGAAGGGTTCGCTTAGAGAAGATGTTGATCGGTTTATTGAGATGGTGGAGAGACTCATTGCTGCCCAGTAAGCCCGTGAGGAAATGAAAGAGCTACCTGACGCTCCCCTGTTGCCAAAGGTTGAGCCACCCCTGTAGCGGGAGGCTCCCGAGCCACCCTGATATGATCTTGCACCACCATAGTATGATCTGGTGCCCTAGCCACTGCATCACCCAGCACCACCATAGTATAATCCGGTGCCTCCACTATATCATCAAGTACTACTGCAGGGCCATCCAGTCCATCCTCAACCCAGCCCAGTCCCTCGTCTACAGGACACAACTCCTTTCATGATGGACCCAAACTACATAGAAAAGTATAAAAAACTAAATTCTTCTACTTTTACAAGGGAATTCTAATTTGAAGAGGTCGAGTTCTGGTTACCTGAGACAGAGAAGGCCGTCAAGACCCTCGGGGTGATCCCCAAACAGAAGGTCATCCTTGCTACTTACATACTAGTGGGAGAAGCAGACCGCTGATGGCAACTCAAGCAGGCCGCCCTACCATTTCTAGTCACTTGGGAATAATTCCTAACGGTCTTTCATGCGAAGTACCTCCCAAAGCATCTCCGACATCTGAAGGAGATGGAGTTTGCACATTTATTTTAGGGAGATATGACTGTATCAGAATATACTTGCAAGTTCCTGGAGTTGTGTCGATATTCTTCTGAGAGCATGATGAACGAAGGCAGGAAGGATAGAAGGTTCGAGTGGGTTCTCCGTCATAAGATCAGATAGCAGTTGTTTGTGCTCGTGCTAATTACTTATTCGACTGTTCTGGCCAAGGCACAGTTAGTGGAGAGAAGCCTTCGCATCTTCTTTCAAGCAGCAGGGAACCTCAGGCCCTCAGCTCCATGCCACAGACCAGCACCTATTGCACCTGTTCAATATAACAGGAGACCCAGGCTGATGACTCAAGATCCCCCTCAGGTTCCAACAGCAGGACGCAGCAAAATCTGTCAGCATTGTGACAATGATCATGGGGACCAACCCTGTTATCGCCTAAACAACACATGCTGCATATGTGGTAGGGTCCAACATTATGCAATGGAGTGTGCCCAAGGAACCAGAACTAGGTCAGACCTCCTATCTATGACAGGGTTTACAATCTCACTCAGCAGGATGCAGAAGTCAACCCGAACGTGGTACAGAGTATGTACACTACATGTAACTATCTTGCTCATGTCTTGATCGATACTGGTACATCACATTCATTTGTTTTACATATTTTTTTGCATCAAAATTAGGTATATTACCTGAAAAACTTAATACTATGTTATTTGTGTCTACTCTTAGGAGTAGGACACTACTGGGAGAGGTTGTCTACAACATCTGTATCATAGATATAGCAAATAGAAAATTGAGTGAGGACCTAATAAAAATTGACACGGGGGACTTTAATGTAATTTTAGAAATGAACTAGCTAGCGATGTATCACGCCACTATAAATTATTTTAGCAAGAAGATTGTATTCAACCCTCCTAATGAGGAGTCATTTACAAATTAATAAAATCGTTTAACATTTGTTCTTTCATGGCAAATTTTCTTATTTTCAAGTACTTTAACCCAACAATTTTTTCTAACTAGGCAAAATCAAGAAAAAAATTTGTATTCAAGAGATTCCAGTAGTCCGATATTTTCTAGATGTGTTTTCGGATGAACTACTTGAACTGCCAGTGGACAGAGCAGTCAAATTCACCATAGACCTTCAACCAAGCACCCAGCCTATTTTAGTAGTTCCTTACTGCATGAGCCGTATTGAGATAGAGGAATTGAGAAAACATATCATAGAAGTGCAGGACAGTGGATTCATCCGACATAGTGTGTCCCCTTGGGGTGCCGGAGTCACATTTGCAAGAAATGAAAATAAGGCATTGATGTTATGTATTGATTACAGAGGTTTGAACAGAGTCACAATCAAGAACAAGTATTCCCTCCCCATGATCGATAACCTCTTTGATCAGTTGTAAGGTGCTCAAGTCTTCTCCAAGATAGACTTGCATCCAGGTTACTATCAGGTAAAAATCAGGACAGAATACATTCCCAAAACATCCTTTCGAACCAGGTATGGACATTATAAGTTCCTGGTCATGCCAACGCCCCAGCCATCTTTATGAATTTGATGAACATAGTTTTTAGACAATTCCTGCATTAGTTTATCATTATATTCATTGATAATATCTTGGTATATTTAAAGAGCAGAGAGGAACACGCTCACCATCTGACTCAGGTTTTGCAGGTTCTCAGCGAGAAGAAGTTGTATGCAAAGTTGAGTAAGTGTGGGTTTTGACTTGAGCAGATTACCTTCCTAGGACACTTCATATCAAAGGATAAAGTGTCAGTAAATTCCGAAAAAGTTGAAGTAGTGCTTGGATGGGAAATCTTGACATCGGTTAAGGAGATCCGTAACTTTTTAGGGATGGCATGGTTTTACCGTGGGTTTGTGGAAGAATTTTCTAGTTTAGCTGCTCCTTTGACTCGGCTCACAAAGAAAAATGTCAAGTTTGAGTGGGATGAGAACTGTGAAAGAAGTTTTTCAGAACTAAATAAGTGGCAGACTACTGCACCTGTGTTGGCCTTATCGAGCGGATCGGATGGATATATAGTTTACAGTTATGCCTGCTACTTAGGTTTGAGTTGTATTTTGATGCATCATGGTAATGTCATAGCCTATGGGTCCAGACAGTTGAAAAGTTATGAGAAAAACTATTCCACTTATAACTTAGAGTTTGCCGCAATCATCCACGCCTTGAAGACTTCACGCCATTATTTATATGGGGAGACCTTTCAGATCTATACCGATCACAATAGTTTGAAATATATATTCACTCAAAAGGATCTCAACATGCATCAGAGAAGGTAGATAGAACTTCTCAAGAACTATGATTGCGACATCTTGTATCACCCAGGTAAGGGCAACGTGGTAGTCGACGCACTCAACAGGAAAAGTACAGGTACATTAGCCCATTTGATGGTTTCAGAATGCAGGCAGATGGGGGTCGCACAATAAGTACAGCTTCAGGACCTGAAGAGAGTCACATGTTTGGGCCACCTGACTGTTTAACCTGAATTAAATAGAGAATAAGGTGAGCTCAGCCCGTCGATCTCACCGTAACAGCCCTAAAAAAAGATACAAAATAGAAAGTTAACTCAGAATTCCGAGTCTCTACCGATGGTTGCTCAGATTCCAGGACAGAGTGTGTGTTCTAAGTGACAGTGAGTTAAAAAGGAACATTATGACAAAGGCTCATAGCTTAAAGTTTGTCATGCATCCCGGAAGCACTAAGATATACTAAAGTATGAGATCTCGATTTTGGTAGAACGGGATGAAAAGAGATATAGCTGACTTTGTTTTTAAGTATTTTGTATGCTAGTAGGTCAAGGCAGAGCACCAATGCCTAAGTGGGCTATTTTAGCCATTACCAATTATGGAGTAGAAGTGGGAACATATCACCATAAATTTCGTGACAAGATTACCTAAGGCATGCTCAGGACATGATGTTATTTAGGTAATTATTGACTATCTTACTAAGTTTTCCCACTTCTTGGCCATCAGGATGACCGATCATTTGGACAAGTTGGTAAGAATATATATCCAAAAAATAGTCAGATTACATGGAGTGCCAGTAACAATAGTGTTTGACAGGGACCTCAGGTTCACTTGTCGATTTTAATCTAGTCTTCAGCTAGCTATGGGGACGAAACTATTTCTTAGTACTGCATTCCACCCTCAAACCGATGAGCAGTCAGAAAGGACAATCCGCACACTTGAGGATATGCTCTGAGATTGTGTTCTTGACTTCGGGGGCCATTGGGATGACCATTTATCCCTGATAGAATTCGCCTACAATAACAGCTACCAAGTAAGTATTGGCATGGCTCCGTATGAGGCATTGTATGACCACCCATGCAGATCGTTGATATATTGAAAATAAGTGGGCGATTGAAAATTGTTCGGTCTATATCTTGTAGATGAGACTACAACAAAAATAGCTAAGCTCAGGAAGAACATCCAAACGGCTCATATTAGACAGAACAGTTATGCGGACACCCGGAAAAAGGACTTGAAATTTGAAAAATGGGGATAAGGTGTTCCTTAAAGTCACTCATTTCAAGGAAATCAGTAGATTCGACAAGAGGAGAAAATTGAAATCTTATACAGAATTAGTACCGCTGCCTACAGATTGACACTGCCTCCAGAAATTTTCAGGGTCCATAATGTGTTTCATGTGTCCAGGCTACGCAAGTACAACCTGGACCCCTTTCACATCTTAGCTCACGAGACTTTTTCACTCTAGGAGGATCTATCATACGAAGAAGTACCGGTCGACATTGTGGACCGAAAGAGCAGATTGCTCTGCAACCGAAAAATTTTCTTTGTTAAGGTTCTATAGCAGTATCACACACCGAGATAGGGTACATGAGAGCTAGAATTAGACTTAAGAGCCAAATATTCTCAGCTGTTTGATTGAGAGTGAGAGAGACAAATTTGAGAGACTAAATTTCTTTTAAGGGAGAGAGAGTTGTAATACCTTAAATTAATGTTTAATATAATTTAAGATTTATTTATAAATATAATTTCTTAATTTTTTAATTTTTTAATTTTAATTTAGAGTAAAAATAAAGAAAAATTGATGGATGATTAAATTGAAAACAATTTAGGGAAAAAGAGGTGAAAATTTGGGTTCTGTGATATTTTTGAAAAAAAAATCGAAAACTGGGGGTCAAAATATGATTTAGAGAAGTTTTTCCATGTGGAATGGATGTTTGGTAATTTGACACTCATACCGGAAGGGATATGGGGACAGTTCGTAATTGAGAATGTTAAAGAAAAAAATTCACGCGTAGTGGGGACATCTCTATGAACCCCCATAGATACCAGCAGGCTGGTGAAAAAATGGACAATTGTTGTTTGATGATTTGAATATAAAAGTATAATATGTGCTATGTTATTAATTATATACGGAATCATAATATATATAATGTTATTGTTTTTTATAAATCTCACTACGGTAAATAGTTTTATTATTAATAAATGAATTTGCTTAATTTAGTGCTCTATTAGTTATTTTTTTGATATTTTCTACCAACATTTATTTATGTATCGATAATATAATGTGATATTTTTACTGGGTTAGTGTAGTTCATCCCTTATTTAACTATTTTAGATTAAGAGAACCAGAATCCAGAATCCAGAATCCGATTCGCAAGAAAGTTGCGAGTAGAATGTTAGTTTTCTTTATTTTCCGTTCATTTCCTTATTTATTTGTATTTATTTCAAAATGGTGAATTCGGTAATACTAATTGGTACTTTAAGTTATTGTGTAAGGAATGTAAACCTTGAACATTTATTTCGCTTTCGTACTTTAATTATCATTTATTTTCTTTGGATATTTCTGGGGTCGTTACAATTAACACTAATTATCTATTAAATAATTTAAAATTTATTACTATATTAAATAACTTAATTACTTTATTAAGCTGAATATTTCTTATTTGTCAAATTAACGTGTCACACTTGATATAATCAATGGCAACCATCTTCACTAATGACAAATTTTTTAAGTATCATGATAATTTATAATAATGATAGTTTATCAAACTTATAATAAATATAATATAATAGTAACTTTTGTGAGTGCTATGATAAATTTATTTTTTGAAGATTTTGGATGTATTTAGATAATTTTTCATTTAAGATTTATGTAAAAAAATTAAAATATTCGTGTTCAACATGTGTAAAAATATCTTATAATTTTATTTCTAATGTTTACAATTATTTTTAATGAATTTCATAATTTTAATAATTTTATTATTAACTTAAATAGAGTGAGAAATGATTGGTTAGGGGTAATTTTTATTTTTAACAAAATAAATATTTAATTTATAAAGTTGATTCAGTTTGTTATATATTATTTCTTATTAGAGTGAGTGATAATTATCTTATTTTATAAAATATTATAAATTTAAATTAGACTATATTTTTATATATTTTATTAAAATATTGTATTATAATGGTTGTATATATATTATTTAATTAATATAAAAAATTAAAAAAAAATTCAGGACTTAATTAAACGCAAACAAAATATGGAGGAACTTAATTGTGCAGATTTAGCTATCTCTTATTATTATTATTTTTAATTCTGTTATATCTTTGGGAAAGATGCTAAGATGCTTCAGAACTACTTTGCCTTTATGATTTTATATGAATTTTGACCGTTAGATTAAATTAAAAATTAAGAGTAATAAAATAAATAAATAAATAATTTATTTATTTATTATCTGTTACAGTCTCAGAGGGCATTTTGCCCGGTCTTTACCAATAAACGCGAACTCCCGCGATTGCCCGGAATCCATATTCGTTTTTCTCGAGAAAACCAAGACTGTAGAATGATGCAGCCGTGTTGAAATTCTTCGCTGCGATAGGACGATGAGGTCGAGCGATTGTAGTCCCCTATTCAATTCTAGATGGAACTAGAAAGAGACTGTATTATTTCGACAGAACCAAAACATTCCGATCAAGAGAATGTCAAAGTGATCGAATGGGAAGACTTCGAACAGGAGCTTGCGCGGCTATGGAGTCTGTCTTCCGCGCTCAAAGAAGCTAAGGAAAAGAAACAAAGTCTTCAAAAGACGCTCGAGCCTCGTATTCAGGTAGCGTTTGTTTTGTTTCAATGTCAAGATTTTCTAGATGTGCGTGTCTCTACTGGAATTTTGGCTCTTTTCTTTAGCTGATTAGCATTATAAGGGAGAAAAACGAAAAGTTTTGGGAATTTGACTAAATTAGGTTGCCTATGTGATGTCTGCTGCTCAGAAATGGGAGGAATATGAGACTTCGAATCATATAGTTTAAGGAATTGGGAGTAAAATCAATCTGAACCTTATCTTTAACTCGGGAATGTGGTCAGTCAAGTGCAGAATTCTTCTAACGTAAGTAAAAAGAGTGAATATCTTTCCAAAAAAGAGTTTGATTACAATTTTTAATTTGGTGGAGCCAACTTTGCCAGGAACTCAAATATCGGAATAATGAAATATAGAATCAGAATTCTTTTTTGCTGATTTTATATTCTTGTAGATGTGATCAAGGCTTTACTTAACTGCAAGTCAGATTCTGGAGCATTATTATTATTTTTTTAAAAAAAAGAAGTTAGGTTGTTGAGCTCTGAAGTCTAGGTAATTAATCTAGGATGGGCTATGGGTAGATGGAATTAGTTTCTGTCAATCAAGAGTTGAAAATGAAAATAGAATGTAAACTAGCTGCCAAATTTTAAGATGGTTAAGAGAGTCCCTTGCGGGATTTCTTCGGGATAGAATTGAGGAAGGTGTTATGAATAGCATAAAGGCAGATTAGCTGTATGATGAGACAAACATGATATGGCAAGACATGGAATCCTTTGTAAGGAAGGAGCAAAATCCCCGTTGATTGTGAGATTAGTTGTTTGGTTGTTTGTCAATTTTATGTCTAGAAATAAATTATTAGTTTAAAATGTATCTCTATACTGATTGTTCACTTTTCCTAAAGGACCTAAAGCATGGATGGATCCTTTTCTAAAATCCTCCTAGAATTTATTCTGATAATGTAGGTATAAACTAGGTTTAAAATAATGCAGAAAGTTATGAATAGAAGGCTAAGTTCTATATGTGAATAGAATTTACTGAACTTTACAGGGCTTTTTGTTATACTTAAAAATCACAAATTCGAACTTGAATGTAGTTTTCGTTACTTTGAAGGAGTATTATGGATTAAAAATGATCTATTTATAATGATTGATCTAATGAGATCAAAAACTTAACTCTTTCAGCAAGGTCATTACATTTTGTAGTCGAAAGAAATATTCTGGGGCTGTTAGGTTCTTTTAGTTGGATGAGTCACAATGGATTAAAACTTGATCTAGTCTTTATTATTTCAAAAAAAAAAGTTGTAATCATGATTATTTTTACTCTATTTTCTGTTATGCTCTATTCATAGGCTGAGTAATGAATTTTAAAATGAAATTTTCGTGGCTTTTGTTGCTTCCATCAACAAGAAGTTATTTTTTCGATGTGGGGGCTTTGCTAGGTCTGAGATTAATAACTTTTTTTGAAAAAAATTAAACATTAACGTTATAGTTCTAGACAAAATCTTTTTTTTCCCAAATGGGTTTTGTGCTGTTTGAGTGATGGATTTCGATGTTTGAGGAATTTTTATCTTTGATACTAACTGATGTAGGATAAATGAGGGATAATTTGATTGAGGGATTTGAGCATAAACCTAGATCCCACAATTAAATTTTTAGCTGTAACACCTAAGAATTCTTAGGACTCGATGGTTGAATTGTATCACACACTAGACGGAGTGAGAGAAATTATCAAATGACTTTGTTGAGAATTGAACTTCTCTCAAATTTGAGATTACATAAATATTTAAAGTGCTTCCTAAGTAATCTTTTTCAAATAAGATTATTCTCATAATAACAATACTAATGAAGTCAAGACAACTAGTCTGAAGTCTACAAAAATCCCTAGTTATCCAAAGAGTTTTTGATATAAAGAGAGGTGGAGCACCGGTACTCGGCCGCCGGCAAATGGTCACCGTCTTGGCTCAAAGATTGCCATACCACCCCTTTCTCTTCTCTATTGGTTCTCTTTAGATGTGATACATATCATCATTTAAACCTTATTATGTTTTTGTTTCAAGCTCTAACTCTATTGAATCAAATATTGTAATGGAATTATTATATATCTAATATTGATTGCTAACCAAAGGTCTTAGCAAAAGAAACAAATTCTTTAAACTCATCCCCCTCACGGTATTTTGGGTCATTTGGAAGGAAAGAAACAAACGTGCTTTTGATGGAAAAGAATTAAACTTCAACACTTTAAAAAACAATTGGTTTCACCATTTTGGCTCTACCATACTTGAGCATGATATTAGTAGTAATGTTCATTTTGATTCTATTGTAGATATACTGATCGATATGTAAAATTATACATGGGCGGTGCCCCCTTGACACTTATCATCAATACATTTCTATACTTTTCTTTTAAAAAACAAAATTTGATTGCTAAGCAAAGATCATAATTTAGTTGCAATTTTAATGTAATTATATTCATATGTAATTTTAAATTCTAGCTCTAATTCATATATTGACCCAAAAGTGCTGTGATACTTTTGATCTAAACTGATAAAAAAAAATCAGGTACTGAATTCACACAAAAAGAAATCACAAATAGTGAAAGTGAGACAGCCAAACCACAAAGTATAAAATTGCAAATTGCCGTAATTTTTGTGTATATATAAGTCACCTCCTCTGCCCTCTTGATCCATAACCATGGTTCAAATTCTCAAGATCTTGTAGCACATATCAATGAAGTCCTATTAATTAGTATTAAATAGAAGAAATAAATTATAAGCACTAATACAATTAGATATGCTCTTCATAAAACAAATTAGGATTTGCGATGCTAGGTGAGAGGAACATGAGATCCTTTTCTATCAATAGAAATGAAGTGGAATTCATAGTAGTTCGAATGGTATAATCGACCGTTTCTAACATTGGCAAACGAATCAAAGCAAATTGATTATAGTTCAATTACTGATGATTATAAGTGGAAAGTCATATTCTTCAGTCATTGATAAACAATTTGTAGGATAATACTCAATGCAATTAGCATAAAATATGCCTACTTGGAGTAGTAGGAATTGGAAATCTCTCCTTTAAGGATTACTTTGCAATTATTATTTTTTAAATAAAAAAAATATTTGATATTGAAATCTGTCAGATAATCGAGTGACTACCCCAAGTCAGGATCAAATATAACTGAGAACAATTCTCTACAGCATCTACGGTTTAGCAACCGTTCTTACCATTAATCATGTTTTGGTCACACGGCTACGATTCCTCCACCAGACTTGGAATTGTTTCTCCTTAGAACTCAAGGATACAGAAGTATGAACCTATAGAATAGATCTTGTTCAAGTAAGATCGTAGAGAGTAGGCAATTACTAAAACTTTGTTGTTATTTTCAAATTAAGAACAATTTAAAAAAAGGGTAAAAGTTGACTAGGATGTAATAGAATTAAACAAAATGAACCATTCTACAAGAAGAATTAAACTAGATGATCATTAAGGTCTTGGGATTATGAGATGCTTCCTTTCCTCTGGAAGTACTATCCTTCTTCTGGAAGTACTATCCTTCTTCTGGAAGTACTATCCTTCTTCTGGAAGTACTATCCTTCTTCTGCTCTCTCCTCTATCCTTGCCCTTCTTTTTCTTTTTCTCTTTTATTACTATTCGCAAGGTTCTGCCCATGCAAAAGGGTATATAGACAGTCTAGTCACAGAAGTATTTTTGGGGATAGCAGTCTTCTGCCTTTGTCTGTTGATCATGGAAAAAACAGATTCCTCAACCAAAATTTTTAATTATTTGGAAGGATTATTTAGCTTCTTTAGACGGCCTCAAATTCCTTTTACTCCAAACAGTCCATGCATTCTTCTTAGTCTTGCAGAAAACAGAGGATTAGTATTTATGTTGCATATTGTGCTAACTAACTCATTTTTTTTAAGTAGTTCACTTTATTGCAATTAAATCATAATAAACTGTAATCGCCGAAATCGGCTCCACTGATCACAGGAACTCAGATCCATAGGTTCCTATCAGCAAGCGAAACATGATATCGTTCTTGGTCCAATCATTTGTGCTAATTAACTCATATAATCTCATAATTTGAAGGGGTCTACTATCTCAAAGACTTTTTGAAAATACAATATACTTTTGTCTTCCATTATGTTTTTTTAGGGAACTGAAAAGTTTAGTAGATCCACGTCGTGATTGATGGCATAATAAACCGTTATTTGTTTCCTTTCATATGCAGTTTTGTCATGGGCAACTGCTAAACACAGTTAGCGATTTGATTTTCTATATATGCAATATCCTTGTGGCTTCTTCTTTGGATTTCTTGAGCTTTAACTGATTGGCCCGCGGATTAGCGGGCGGCAACATGTTGGGCAGGTCAAAGCTGAGTCATTGAGTCGGTCAAATGAGCTAGAAGAAATGTATCAGAAGCTAGAGGCTAGAAAGTTGGTGATGGGAAACATGTCAATGCGTTGCAAGGTCGCTGTAGAGGATGCTAAAAAGAAAGAGGAAAGTCTTGGTATTGAAGTTAGATCTCTACTGGTAGCCGGTACAGCTCTTTCTATGGCGAGGATGCAATTGCAGGTAATCTTTATTAGTAAATTCTGGATATTAAACACTCCATAGATATTTTTAAGAGAGTTGTGTGTCTAGAGGAAAAAAAGTTAAAACTACTAGAAAAGCGGAAAACTTAACAATAGTAACAATGATTTTTTTCTTTTTAGTATATTCTGCTTCATTGAATTGGATATAAGGTCACTCAAAATAAGCTGTATATGCCAATTAAAATGCTAAAAGAAAGTTGATGTATGGTAAGTTCTATGAAAAGAACTGTGACCGTGCTAAGATGTTTTACAAGAAGGGAAAGTGGAATATTGACTTTATTCCTGGATTTGCAGTACGAATTAGCGTAGGCCTAATTTATTATTTTCTGAACAGGTGATAACATAATTCCATAGTTTGATATCGTTCTATACGTCCTTGCTTTGTTTTATAGAAAAGGAATAATTATCATTGAGAACAAAAAGATACAAATAAAAAGAGATTTGGGGTTTTCCAAAAAAAATAGAAAGCAAAAGAAAGAGAAAAGAGAAGGAATATCTATTACTCATAATGTTAGGGGGTTTCTGAACACATGCCTTAACAAAAATTTCATCTTGCTTTTGATTTAGGAATCAAATAGCTTACTGGCTGGGGAAAGAGGTTATGTTCGCCTTAAGAATGTGCAGAGGAAGCTATTTGTGAGGCAACAATATATGATATCACAAGTTTCATTACTTTATCCTCTGAAGATCTTGGTTGGATCTGCACAAGAGCAAGAACTTGAATCAGTTCCGGGTTTTAGTAGATTGGGTAATGACAATTGTCTAACTTTAATTGTACATACTTCTCCCTTCAGTATTTTGTTTTAAATTGCCTTTATGCTGTGTTGTGTTTAACAATCTTTCCATAGGCTGGGCATATGCTTGCCACTATTTCTTTAGTGACGTCCTTCTGATTTTAATTTGATGACATGTACCCTAATTTCTTGGAATAAGTTGAATTGCATTTCGGTTCTTTAAAGCTTGGTGTAGGTAAGACATTCTAGATTTAATTCAGATCTCTGCAGCTAACTAGGGATGAAAACAACTTAATAAGTATTTGCTAGTTTTTTGGTTCGCCAAATATCTGTCAATAGTATTTTTATGGTTTTTGGTAGATCCTTTCATGGTGTCACAGTTCTGCTTCACTAGCAATGTAACTATATGTGGCTGCTGCTTTGTCCTCTGTATCTTAGTTAAAACTGAGGAATCCATCTTCAATCTAACTTTTATTTGGTTCTAACAGGAAATTCCATGGGATCTAAATCTGTTAATCAAGGATCGTTGACAATCTTAGGTTTGCATTTGACTGTGCCTCCTTTTACAAAGATGAGTTTTTTCACTGATAAGAAGGAGGTTCAGAGGTCTTCAACAGCCCTGGGTTATGTTGCCCATGTGTGTTCCTATCATATTTCCTAATCTAAATTGCAAATTTTGTGCATTTGGAAGTACATAGTTGCTTAAGGCATCATGGGGCATCTTCTGTTGGCCCATCTGTTACTGAGACCTTGTTGCATCTGTTCGCATCACAAATTTATGTGAATATAATCTTAGGGAAATTTTGTGTTAAGGAATGTCAAATAACATAATCTAGAGAAATTACATTTTGACTCGTGTTGATCCATTTTAAAATAAAATTCCATGCTTTATTTTGTAACAGTTCATTACATTGAGGTTTCATAATCAGACAATAAAATAGTTTTGTTACTTTAATGTCTATGGAAGTCTTGTATGCTTTAAACACATTATTTGTGAATATCTTTTCTAAAGAGTGTCGTTTTCGTTCGTTTTGACAAATGATTACTTCTATAACATATGTTGAAGATAAAATTCCAAAAATTACATTCAAACTGCATTAAATTGTTGGTGTTTGTAAAGAAATCTTCAAAAATAAATATTTTTAAAGCTATATGAAATTTATATTGATCATGAAAATAGCAATTTATCTATTTTGTCTATGAATGAAATCTCAAGGTAGTAATCTTTTGCAAGACAAACCACACGGTTTTATTTGAAAGAGACTAGATTACAAGGAGTGAAACTGTAATTTTTCCTGTATTCTGTAACTACTTTCTGCTATAAGAACTCGTAATTGTTTTACTTATTTATTTATTCATTTTTATAATCAACTGGAATTCAAGAAGCTGATTTGCTAATAGCATTTTCTGCATTTGGTGTTGGAAAAAACAAAATTGTAAAGAATCTTAGATTTCCTTTCTTTTTCTCCTTGTAGGCTGTTTTATTGATATCTTCCTATTTGAAAGTTCCTTTGAGGTATCCGCTGCGGTTTGGGGGTTCACGCTCATATATTAATGATTTTGCACCTTCAATAGAGCCTATGTCATCAGACTTGTTGTCGGATATAACCGTTTCTGGAAATGTGAAACCTGTAGAATTTCCTCTGTTTCTGGAAGGTCAGGACACAACAAGAGCAGCTTATGCTGTATTTTTGTTAAACAAGGTGCGTGTTTGATGAATTTGTATCATTGCTTTGAATCTCAAATGCTGTTATATTATCGGCTTGGGTATTGGAAAGTTGGTTTCTTATCCTCTCAAGGCATTTTTGTCTCCAAGTAGTTTTCTTTCCCTTGTTAAGGAAAAAAATTGTCATCTTTTTTCTGTCTAGATTTTAATCTTGATATCACTTGTTGGGATTGTTTTCAGGTTCTTTCATCCCTATTATTCTTTATTATTGACTTATTCTCACTCTTCGGGTTTTTTTTCATCAAAGAATCATGTAGTAAGATATAAGGTTCAGATTGGTGCTAGGAATGTTAGGTTTATCCCTTCGTATGAATTTCATCATGCACTGAAGTCACTGACAGAGGCTTCTACTTGAGCAACTAGTGTACCTTGTATATGAAAATTTTATGTGGGCTTCTCTCTCTCTCTCGGCCAGCATGTGGAAGTAGTATTTCTTGTTTAAGTTGAAGAATGAAGAAATCTTGGGGGAAAGAACTGGGAGCCTTATTCCCCTTAATGAATTTGTTGGCCTTTTCAAAAAATAAATAGATAAATAAATAACAAAAAATCCTAAATATTAGCCGAATACATATTTGATGCTGATAATTTTTTGAACTTCTGTAACCTGAAATGCCGAGATGAATGTCATTCTTATTACTATTTCTTGGGTGAGTACCTAACTTGTTCTCTTGGCTGGGCCTTATGCGGAGATATGAAATTTTAGCTGCTAATTAACCTGGTTGCAATTTGTGCATGCCTTGTTGAATTATCATAAATTCTTTTCCATGTTTGCAGGACTTGGAGCAACTCCTGAATTTCATTGGCGTTAATAGCTTAGGACCTCGGCATGTATTGGCAAATCTGAAGGAGCTTATCAGAACGATCCAGTCTCCAGAGTATATAGATACAGTTTGATATACAAGACGACTGTAATGTGACCTTTTTGTAAATGAATTTTCACATGGGTGCAAATTTTTTTAGAAAGGCACCAGTTTACATGAAGCTTTCTTTGTCCACTGTTGTATTCAATTGAATGAAAAATCAAGTGATATTTGGTGAATATGGAGATTAGGATAAGGAACTCCTGCTTTTAGTACTCCAGTTTTAATTGCAGCCAATATTTCAATTTTAAATCTGGAGCAAAATATACATCAGTAATTATCAAGTGATTTGTATAAAATTATTATGTATACACATAACAGTAATGCTTAAATTTTAAGTAAAAACTAAAAACATTCCATGGAAAAATATTTTAATTTTGGGTGATTAGACATACAACTTAGTGGTTAGTTTTGACTAATATTTAACTGCACACAAAATTTCATTCTTTTATGTTTTTTAAAATTAGACTCATAAAAATTAAATTATATTTTTATATTTAAAAATTTAAATATTATTTTAAAATATTTAAATCGGTATTTTTATTATATTTTAATAAATTTAATTTTTGAATTTTCAAAAAATTTTGTTTCACCCTTTAACTATTAAATTATATTAATATCAATAGTAAAAATATAACCTGAATCCAAAAGTAAATATATATCATAATTATAATTGAGTAATTGTACATATTAAATTTTATTAATATAATAATATGTAAAAAAATATTTTAATTATGTAAAAGTTCAAGGATAATTTTGAAAATATGAAAATTTAATTAACATTTTATTTTTTTAATTACTTTCTTTAATAATAATAATTACAATAAATAAAGACCCTAATCCTAAGAAGGCGGGTGGGAAGACAAAGCGAATAGCAAGAAAAGACAAGAAAAAAGGAAGAGTTTATTTTTAATTTTAACAA